GAAAACTTAACACAAACCCTATACCAATCCGTCTGGCCAGCGTGGTATAGTAGGCCAAAACCTCCTTTCTAAGGAGAGACCTATGTTCAGCAGTGGACTATTGAAGGCTGTTGATGTGATGATGATTAATAGTGTTATGAAATAGACGGGCTTACAGAAGATGTATATGAAGCATGTTCATCATTCATCATTGCATGGCATATTCGTGCTTCAATGCATCAAAGGGTCTCAGTTTATTAAAGACGCGTTTATTAATTGCCCGCGACCCCGCCCGCGTGTATGTCGGTTATAGCTTTAAAAAGTAGCCTATGTTACTCATTGATAATGTAGCTTCGCATTCGTGTTTTTTTTTTTAAATCGGTTTATTAGTTTAGGCGTGAAAAGTAACAAACAAACAAACTCACTTTCACATCTATACAACTAAATAAAGTTGAAGTATCTGTGTGTAATGTCAAAATAATAGGGTTTTTTACACTATACCTATGCCTAAAAACCAGTTTTAATATTTTTTCTGTCTGTCTGTTTGTTTAATTTTTATGCTTAATATTTAACTACTAGGTAGCTGTCTATACAAGGAGTAAACTAGGCTATAAAATATTGCTTGGGTTTTTTTTTTTAAAAGACAACTCCCGGACTAGAAATAAATCCTGTGTCGCGGGGGACTTTACAAACATACATGAAACGGACACAAAGTACACCCAGACTCAGAACAACAATTTATGGATCACACAGTCTTATCCCATGTGGGGTTTGAATCCACAACACTCAGCGCAGTAGTAAGCGGCGGGGCGACCGCTTAAACCACTACGCTATCTGTGCAGCTGTACCCACTAAGGCAGCGCTTTTCAAATCCACTAACGCGGGCACCAACTAGTTTATAATATAGGTATGGAGGACTTGTTTTTTTATTTGCAAACTAACAGACAGCTCACCTGATAATAAGTACTACAACCTATAGACAGTAGCAACTCAAGAACATTAAGTGTGTTTTTAACCTTCCTCTCCCAGAATTAGGGAGAGAGGGAGGACGATTGGAGCTCCGATAACCTTTAACCTCCGGTAACCGGACACGCTGAAAGGTAACGAAAGAACTGCATAACCTCTTCGTGGTATTACTCTGTACAAATAAAATACAGAAACTAATACTAAGAGTATTTTCATACATAAGTACAAAATCACAGTGAACTGTGAATAAACGGTGATTTATCATTTGGTTTTGTCTTGCGTAGTTTAGGGTTACTACTTACGCGTTGTTGCCAATAAGCTGTTTTTAGACGATGCATAAAGATCCTATTTTGCCTATTTAACATTATATCTAGTAATTATTTTATTATATATAGCTACTATTCCCTACATAATAATTTAAAAAAATAGTAAATTTATTGAAGACAACCACCCCGACACTCAGGACTCAGGCGCCCTACTCCGAGGAGGGCCCGTACCATGTTATTTCAGCTCCCCCCCGGGTCGATGACGCGCCTAGTTAAGCCCTATTCCGGGAAAGCTGCGGGCCTATCGGCAAAATAATGATATGTGGCGGCCCGATTGCATTTTTGCGACCAGGCCGCATTCCTATCGCCTACCACAGCAGTTAAACCAAGCAACCCTAAACTACTTACGCAAAAAGCGAAAGAAATGAAAAATCACAGTTCATTGACACTGACTTAACTGCACGGATGGCGTAGTGGTTTAAGCGGTCGCCACGCCGCTTACTACTACGCTAAGTGCTGTGGGTTCGAACCCTACATGGGACGACACTTTGTGTGATCCACAAATTGTTGTTCTGAGTCTGGGGGTTCTTTGTGTCGGTTTCATCTATGTTTGTAAAGTCCCCCGCGATACAGGATATATTCCTAATGCGGAGTTGTCTTTTAAAAAAAAAAGAAACCTGATTTTGTCCCATATGTAATTCATACAAATATTTGTAGCAAGCATCAAACTCGCAATCCAGTCAAACGATTTGACATCAGTTTCCGTTATGTTTTCTTCTGAAATAAATACAATATATTTATTTCAGAAGAAGATATTTTTATTTATTAACTCTTTATTCTAATGCTATTAGAGAAAATACAGACCAAATAGCTAATTTAGGCTTTAAGCTTTATCTACAAAAAAGTTAAAAGGAGATCAAATACGGCCTGATTGGCTTTAAGAAAATGATTCTGCTTCTCTTCCTTTGTTTTTTTTGCTCGACTTGGCAGGGTCGAGACGTGCCCCTAAATAACGATCCAATGTTTTACGGATTACAACCTACATATACCTTACCTGACACATGTATTACCGTGTATTGGACAGAAACATAAGCCCTCACTAATTACCATAACTAACATTACACAACACCTGTCATCTAAGACAGAAAGCCTTGTTGTACCCAAAACTTATGTAAAATTTATCAGTTATCAAGCCGGTCCTGGCATAGAAACCATTAACCATGATATCGGTCGACGGTTCTCGGATAACAACGAGTGTCCACACTATTATGTGAAGAACGGATAAGCCCACTTTGAAACAAGATACGATACAAAAGGGTGGCCATCAAAATTCGGTGTACGCTGCCTCCGTTATTTATCATATTGGACTAAAATTTTCACTTTAAGTGACATATTGGTAAAGTGTCGTGTTTAATAAACCCTTTAAGGGGAAACAAGTTCTCACTTACAGCACTAAAAACTAAATGTACTGTTGACATTTTTCTGGTCAAGTAAAATAATACAGAAAGTATTTTTATGTGTATATATTTAGTTTAAAACCATCACCACCAGGTTGTCACCACCACCAGCAATCAGCATAGTCTCTGCCTAGTTTGAGATCAGACCGCCTTGTGTGAGATTTATGAAGATATTATTATTATTTCATTGATGCTGACAAGTCTTAGTATAAATTGGACTTTTATATAGTTTTTATGTTGCCGTTTTAATATAAATTTTACCTTTTCTTTTACTTTTTTACTTAACTTAATACATATATTATCCTCCTGCACTTCGAATTCGTGTCTGTTAAAAATGTGTACAAAGTATAGCTTACAGAATATTAGATAGATATACAAATAGATATAATATGTTAACAACATTCATCTAGCGTAATTAATTATATTTGGATTATCTAGCGTTATTAATTATATTTAGAGGTCATGCTGCTAATTAAGAATATTCATGATAACGAGACTATTTAGTCTGATATTTAAATAATCAAAGAAAGCTATTTTGTGTATCTTAAAAGTTCAATAAAAATTAAAATAATTATTTATTATCTTTTATTTCTCTTTTCTGCTTTTATTACTGGGTTATTAGGGGTGTAAAAGATTGTGGCCAGCGCGGCTTGCATTACGCCCAAGCGTTAATAACGGTTTTTTTTTGGTTTTTTTTTCATTGAACGACACTGTGTGATCCACAAATTGTTGTTCTGAATCTGGGTGTCTTTGTGTCCGTTTTGTGTATGTTATATAGTTCCACGCGACACAGGATATACTCTTAATGCAGGAGTTGTCTTTTATTAAAAAAGAATATAAAAGAAAGAAAAAGAAAAAAGTTTGGGATCAGACAGCAGTGTGTGACGTGAAAGGTTTTATTATTTATCTCATGACCTGGACCCAATTTAAAACTAACTGCATATATCAGTTTTGAGGTGGACTGTTCCAAAACCTAACAAAACGTTTAAATATGTGTAGAACACTGAACTAATAGGTGATTAGTGTGTAATGTTCAACTAAAACTGCACAATTATTTATCAACACACTTCTTCAAAATTTGCCTTTTTATACATATAGGTATGATCAACAGTACATGTATAAATCTCCGCTGTTTGCCCCAATTTTTAATATACGAACACTTGTAAATGTGCTTCCAAATTAAAAAGTAATTACAGCATCGTGTCTAGTTATACTCAACCTAAAAAATATCTCTACTAAAACAGTCCAGTTAAAATCCTATTACTCGATTACGTTCACAGTCCATTTTTCAAACAGGAGAATAAAAAAGGTGAGGAGGAAAGAAAACATTAACAAGCTAATTAATCAACTTGTAAAAGCAACACCTAAATACTTACGTAAAAGCTTGAACGCAGTTTTAGAACGTAATTAATGTTTGTATAATTCTAAAAGATAACATTTAAAGCGGTCCTTGCGATGACATAACAGGATACGGTTGATTTTGTTGATCAGAAGTTTTCCAACTTTTCTAACTGTCCTACGAGTATATATTTAATTCGTTACACATCATGACAAGAAATATTTAAGTTAATTATAATTTAAAAATAACTTTTTTTACAGTCACAGAACAACAAACATTAGAAGCTTTCTATTAGTATAATACAACCGTCGGTATTGCTAAAGTGCCTGTCCTATAAGTTTGGTTATTCGCAAACACGCAAAAAAGTGTCTTTACCAATATATTTTAATCGCTCTGGATCCCAATAGAACGTGTATAACAAGAAGAAGTGTTATTCAGTATAATAAAATTCTTGTGCAAAACAATGACTTAAAGAAAATCTTTTGATCGTTTTGGATCCCAACAACGTGTATAGATGCTCAATCAGCAATCAGTCATCAGCGGTCAGTATATTAAAACACGCAGATCGCTCTTCAAAATTAAATCCAAGTGCATGTGGTATAATTTAACTTTTACGCAAAGATGCATAAAAGTAAAAACATGAATTTAATTCGATTGCTCTGGACCCCAATGACGTGCATAACCGAATAAAGAGAAAGCGGTTAGTTAGTATATTAAAACCCCTATTTTTAAGTTAGTACCCAAGTGCTTAGAGCACACTCGTAAGTGTGGTTATGCACCAACATGCAAACATGCAAGAGTCCCAATGAAAATATAAACCTTTTGATTTAATTTAAACATTACCACTATTTTAATTTTATTTTAACAAACTCTTCAGGAGAATTAATAGAACAAAGATCTGAGATCTAGTTTAAAACAAAACCAAAAGAGCGGTTACAGCTAATGGTCCGTCCATTTCGTTCTTTTTATCCAACTCTTGTCCCTTACTGAATCATGCCGGTCCGTGACGTTTTTTTACACGAATTGAGTTTTATTATCTATATAGATATTTCAATGTTGATCCGGGAAAAGGAAACGTTGTTACAGCTGTTCCGTCGGCTTATTGGTGAATAGTGAGAAGTAAGGAAAATAGTTTTTTTTGAGAACAATGTATTATGGGATTTAAAGGTTCCGAATCTTCTCAATGTTTTGAAGAGAATTCTTATTATAAACCACTTCTGATATAACATTGTTAAGTTATTTTTGAAAGGGGCAAAAATATATTGAATGTATTACATATTTTAGTATTTGTTTTTACTGAATTCTTTGTTAAATCTGACTTCTAATCTGCTTATTATTGCACAGACTTCTTAACTTAAGCTTTTGTCGGAATTACCGACTCCTATGTAAATCTAATGTTTGAAAATTAGCTAATTATACATATCAACAACTACACAATATTTATAGCACACCGTCATCTAGTGCTGTGATTATTCCAGTGTAACCAATGATGGCCACGAAGAGGTTGATCTAAGCAGTGAGGCCTTTGTATGATAGATGTTAAATATTCTCTGTAAAATTCTTGTGCACAAGTCTAAGCATATCTGTCTATATTTTGTCCAGTAGGTTACGGCTCATCAAATTGCGATCAGCTGAACAAATAAAATCGGAAATTACACCCGTAAAATGACAAGTAAGTTAAAATACTAAAAAAATACCGGTCAGGTACGAGTCGAACTCGTGCGCCGTACCTACCCAGATTTTACGTAGATTTTCGCGAAAATTTGTAAGTACCAAAATTTATCTTAATTTTCAACTTTTTTTATTTTTTGAAATTATTCCTTTGTGAACCTTCGGGAACCACCATACCATATAGGTTCAATCCTATCGATCCAAAACCTATAGGGTACTTTCGGCTGACCTAGAATTCTCAATTTTGTTTAAAATCAAGGTCTTACAGCACAAGTAAAGAAAAAATTCTGAAAAATAAAAAAAGTTGAAAATTAAGGTAAGTTTTGGTACTTACAAGTTTTCGCATAAATTGAAATTTGCACATATCTTTTTATCGTGTTGACTCAGGACTTTGATTTTTATACACCTAATAGGGACCATAGACTTCAGTATCTGGTATAAATTTCAACTTGCTATGTCTACCCGTTCCTGAGAAAATCGGTGGTGACACACGGTCAGACTGAGAGACGGACAACAAAGTGATCTTATAAGAGTTCCTTTTTTACCTTTTGGGGTACGGAACCCTAAAAAATACTGTTACATAACTTTGGTAACGGTTCCGGGTCTACCCCAAAAGTAGAAAGGTTCTAATTAGAGTTAATTTAGTTTTATTAATAATAAACATATTCCTTAAATAATACAGTATTCTTTTGCCCTAAGTTTCAATATTATTGTCGTTACAAAAAGTTCGAACAACACCTTACTTTACGTTACACGTTTATGAAGCAAAGTTTTAGCAAGCAAGTAAATTTTGATATATTTCTCCAATTTGTGTAAGGAACCTTAAGTCACTTGTTGTCTTTAAAAAAAGAATACAAACAAAATACTTCAACTCCTGAGTAAGGAACACTTTGCTTGATTCCTTTGAAACATATTGGCATTTTACATATTATTCTTATTATCTGCAAATTATACCTTTATATGTTATACCTATTGCCTAGCATATGTGAACTTGGTTCTTTAAGTGGTTGACTTTGCAACAACGGAGCTCAGGATCTTAGTTCTCCAAGGAGTGGACTTTGCAACAACGGGGCTCAGGATCTTAGTTCTCCAAGTAGTGGACTTTGCAACAACGGAGCTCAGGATCTTAGTTCTCCAAGTAGTGAACTTTACAACAACGGAGCTCAGGATCTTAGTTGTTCAAGTAGTGAACTTTGCAACAACGGAGCTCAGGATCTTAGTTCTCCAAGTAGTGGACTTTGCAACAACGGAGCTCAGGATCTTAGTTCTCCAAGTAGTGAACTTTACAACAACGGAGCTCAGGATCTTAGTTGTTCAAGTAGTGAACTTTGCAACAACGGAGCTCAGGATCTTAGTTCTCCAAGTAGTGGACTTTGCAACAACGGAGCTCAGGATCTTAGTTCTCCAAGTAGTGGACTTTGCAACAACGGAGCTCAGGATCTTAGTTGTTCAAGTAGTGAACTTTGCAACAACGGAGCTCAGGATCTTAGTTCTCCAAGTAGTGGACTTTGCAACAACGGAGCTCAGGATCTTAGTTCTCCAAGTAGTGGACTTTGCAACAACGGAGCTCAGGATCTTAGTTCTCCAAGTAGTGGACTTTGCAACAACGGAGCTCAGGATCTTAGTTCTCCAAGTAGTGGACTTTGCAACAACGGAGCTCAGGATCTTAGTTCTCCAAGTAGTGGACTTATGCAAACAACGGAGCTCAGGATCTTAGTTCTCCAAGTAGTGGACTTTGCAACAACGGAGCTCAGGATCTTAGTTCTCCAAGTAGTGGACTTTGCAACAACGGAGCTCAGGATCTTAGTTCTCCAAGTATTGGACTTTGCAACAACGGAGCTCAGGATCTTAGTTGTTCAATTAGTGGTCCAAATTATTTTTCTTGAAATGTTATTTTTTTCATATTTTTAAAAACTATAAAAAGGTTTTTTGTTCAAGAGCCCCGAAGTTCGTAAATGAATCATTAAAGAATTTGTGAAAAAGAGGTGTATTACAAAAATACATTAAGGTCGTTCTCCGAAGGCGTAGGGATTTTAAAGCCCTTAAATATTACTTAGGAAAGCTTTAAAATGTTCGTGAGGAAGGGTCGTAATTGAGTGTGATATTTTCTGTACTGTTAAAAATCTCCGGAAAATTGTATAAGGTTGTCGGATGAAAAAATATTTTAGGAATTCCGTTTTTAGGGCGCCTATCCGTTAGTAGTAACATCATTTGGGATAAAAGGAAGGGAAAAGTTGTAAAGGTTATTTTCTAAGAATATTAAGTTTCTTCCAAGATTGAAGTGTAATTCTAATTAGAAAAATTAATGTTAGGAAAGCTAGGTATCTTCTTGTAAAATAAAACTTAAATTATTTGGGTATTTCCAGTCTTAGCATGTTTTAGTCACATATAGGGGAGAGTAAACTATATTGAACCGGCGCTTAAATTGGACCACTTCTGTGTTTCTAGCAAAATGGCACTTATTATGGACTCTCTCTAACCCTTTTAAATAACCATTAGTTGAAAGAGATGAACGTATTTGAGGGGACAATGAATAATAACTTTAAAAGATGAATAAAAATTTATGAAAATATAAGCTGACCCGGCAAACGTTATTTTTCCATATTAATAAAATAAAAGTCAAAAAAAAGTAAAAAAAATAATTTAGGGGTTTATCATTTATCGGTATGAAAAATAGTTGTAACAAACGACTCGAGAATTTTGTATATTAGATAAAAAGTCACAAAAATTATTATATCATATCTTTAATGATTATAAAAATGTTGACAGTAGGTATTTTAAACTTTACACCGACTTAAAAAAAGGAACATTTCGATTGGAATGAAAATTGCATTTTTTTGTTCGAAATTATTTTTGATCTCAAAATTATTGAATCTCCTTTGTCTCGAATTTATTGAAATTGGATTACAATTACTCCCTGTCTTATTATTAATGTCCTTCTCCAATGAGTTGCCTGAAAGAGATCACAAATCGCAATAAGGCCACAAATTTATTTTTCTTTGTTTCACTTGTCTAACTTTAGATCAATATATATACAAACATATACAAACTGTAATATTATTTTGGTTTTGTGCAATTAAGAGTTATCTATACTCGTATACCGTCAATGGCTTTTACTGTTAAGTTGAACATTACAATTTATTACGATTTAAGCACCATGAAGTCGATGATAATTCTCTTAAAAGTAAATTAAGTAAATTTGTAATGTAGAATTAATTATTAAATCAAAAAGACTATTTCGTTAAAAAGGTTAAAGAATTTTCTAAAGTCAACAGTATTAACGTTACATCTTTTTCCGATATATCGAAAAACAGTTCCAAAAGCTAATTTTCACTTGAAAACACACAAAATTAACGCAAACTAGAACCATTTTGCATAGATAACTTAGCAAACATATTTCAACGCGAGGGTTACCGTTCTAGTGGAATATATTTTGACAAAACTAGGGCAAAACTGTAGTTTTCAAACGTAGTTTGAAGTAGGTGCGACTCGAACTAGCCAATAAAATTTGTCATAAGCGTTTTGGGACAAATAAAAAATGTCTTGTTCGTTTATTACCAACAACGTTTGTATTCGTTAGGGATGTGGAAATATTTGTTAGATATTGTCAAAGTTTCACGGAAGAGAACTCTTGCAAACTACGTTACATCAATGTGTATATCTAACTCAAGTTTTTTGATCCTGATTTTCACTACGTACTTACCTATGTACCAAATATCCATGGTGTAATGATAGCTATCGAAGAAAACTTCAAACATGCTGGCCTTATTACTTATTTAGTTGATTCATCAACAGTTATATACAATAATTCATTACAAGAGACACACTAATTATGGGCTTAAAAAAATTGCGTAACTAATAACAGGTGAATACAGTTACACACAAAATATAGTATCTAAAATTACAATAAATTAAGTAATTAAATAATTCAGTTACAATGATAGTAATTATTATATTCACAACTATGTACTTTATTAATATTTTTAAGTACTAATAAATAACAATTACAATACATAAAATCGAATTAAAATAATTAAAATGAAAAAAATAAAACAGCGTTTAGTAAAATGTAAGTTGTAAATTACAAACTAAATTAAAAATAATAATTATTAGGAGGCAATAATTAGGTTTAGTGACTAATTGAGTAAGTTTTCAAATAATAGTCTGCGAAATTTATGAAATTTGATGTCAAAAACTTATGGTACTTTGAAGAATGATAGTCTTTCTTCATACTTTTTACTATTATGTATTGGACGAACGACGTCTTTTCTCACTCAAAACCTTTAAATGTTTTTGATAAAGCCATTTATATAACATTATAAACATTTAATAATTCTTATTACCTTGCCGACTCTTGTATGCTACTCGGCGTTTATATTGATATATTCTGACCTTTAATATTCATTATGTTTTCATGAACAATCAATATTTTATTAAATAACATCAAAACCTACACTAAAAGCAGTCATTTACTATATATTATTGATTATTCTTGAACTTGAAGTCATTAATAAATTGCATGTCTGTAATATATTGTCATCTAGGAACAAAAGTCTACAGAAGATATCACATTCCCATGAAGCAAAGCACCAAAATGTACGCTCACTTCATACACTTTAAAAAAATACCTGAAACCATGATCACCTGAGCTGATATCATTTCCTGAGATATGATTTAGTTGCTTACGTGTAGAGCCCTCAATATTTCATAGTACTATAAATAACAATAATATAAATGTCATAAAACCTGATAAATGCTCATTCTGGTCGCCATATAAATGGATACCATAGCTGCAAAAAACCTCTAAGATTTTCAATCTAAAACTACTGCAAAATAAAAACAGACATCTGTCATTCCTGCGCAATTCCTGCATCACTGAAATTGGCAGAACTGCTTCCGAAAACTAAACAAGGACCGACCATATTTTCGTTTCCAGATACCTTTTGCAGACGAACCCACTAACAATAACCATTCATATCGCATGTTATTGCAAAGTAACGCATATTTATTGCCAATTGTGCTTCCCCTTTCACCCTTCACCCCTTGAATAATATATTACAACCCCAGGGAGTTTAGAACTAAATTGCCCAGATGTATGAATGGTAAATATGTTATTGGAACTATTACTCACCGAATGCTCGGAATTCAAAGATGTATATCTAAACTTGGTCTTTATTAGTTCTCCTGGCAGATATTAATGTATACTTATATCTGTGTGCCTATTCAAATAAGCTATTTACATAATAATTTATGACTTAATAAGGATCCATTGTAAGGGCCTAATTTGTAGGAAAAAATAGTGAAAGTGTTGGTCCAAAGTTTAAAATAACATGAATGTACCAGTTTAAAAGTTTGGAGTAAAAAGAATAAGTTAGAGTATGCAAAATCTTGTTTACAGTATTAGAAATTTGTAACACAGAGATATGGAGATATTTTTCACGAGTCATAGTAATTTTAATCAATTGTCATCTTATAGTTCGAGTGAAAAATATTTTAATATCCAGAGGACTGAATGGTCGCTGGAGCTAACATATCCAAGAGTGGAGACAGCAATTAGGCAAACGCAGTGTAGGGACCGACGACTTGAAGAAAATGGCTGTCAGCGAAAGGAGGAATGAGGGGGGACTCCCCTCCCCCCAACAATCGCCAACTCCCCGAAGGCCCCCCGAAGGCAAACGAAGGCAAACGAAGGCTTTCGTTTGCGTCGCAGTGGACGGCAATAGGCTGAAGAAGAGATTATATTTCATGATCATCATTAGCTTATTGCCGTCCACTGCTAAAGTATTTCGTTGGCAAGTGCTTCCCTGCTCCTGTAATCTCTACCAAAAGATAGAGATACCAAAACCTTAAGGAACTTTCAGTGTCCCATTTTTTTATTTATCAAAAAACTATATATTTATGTATAGATTATAATAATAAGAGCCCTTTCTTTCATGTGGAGCCTCCAGCGGCTCTCATCAGAGCCCGAGAGTGAAGTAGTATGAAGGACTCGAACCGACTTAAACCACATGTTTTTCCATCACAAGTAAGACTATTGCAAGGACACAGGAATACACCGAGAATATACCGGGATAGAATAAAGATAACGAAAATTATTAAATCGTAAAACTTTGACTTCATAACTCAATATATTTGGTCAAAATTATTTTTATTTAACAGCAGCTACTAAATATTTTTGTCCAAAATATAAACATAGTCATTTCCTCTCGAAATTAACAACACATGTTACATGGTCACCAATCACGGTTCCTTTCAAATGACAAATCTTTGAATCAAAATACTACGGGGTAACAAAATCGAAGCCCCAATAAAGCCAACCCTTTGGAATCGTTAATACACGGGGAGCAATTAGGAGCTCGGATGTTGGTCCAAAATGGGAAGTTAATGGGATAACGCCGAATCCAGCCGAGGGCACCCTATTTGCATATGCAAGTTGTTGATTGGAAACTGTCTGTGTATTTAGCATCATTAGCTAAGTTGTTCTGGCTGCTCTAAATGGATTATCGCAGTTGTTGCGGTTGTTTGACCTAGAGATGCTATCAAGTTAGTTGGTAACAATCACAGAATTGTATTGGTGAACGGTTACCATAGAAATTTGTGCATGTCGCCAGTAGTGTTAGAAGCAGAGAGAGGAGTAGAAGACTCAATGTTAGAAAAAAAACACTTAGCAGCTAGTAAAGCTAAAATATTCTCAGAATAAGTTTAGTACACAGTAACAACAAAATGTAGTAGGTCCAAGTTTTATAATGAGATATGACTCTCTCCAAACATTTGAATTCTTGATGAAAATGAAAAAAACCCTTGCACAACACTTGATAAATACTTATTGCCATGCTAGGCTGGAAGACTTTTATTTAAAACACTGCAGAATAGTCAAAATTAATATTTAATGTGTCCACAATGTAATTAAT